GAAAGATGGAGTCAGATCCTCACACTGCCTCCTTTGAATAAGACAATGCATATGAAAGAGCCTGTATACTGCAGTGAGCCATGTGCACATCAGGGGCCATCATTCCTTTTGTCAGAAGTAGGGCTCAGGCAGGTCAGTGGCTGGTAGACCTGAGCTTGGCAGGGTGGTTGTAGGTAGGATCTGGAGTTAGCTGGTGGGGGAACTAGGTGGCTACAGAAGCAGGAAACAGTGGCCCCGTGTCACAGCAGAAAGGGAGCCTAAGGGCAGATCGAGCCCTGACCCAGTCACTGGAATGGACAAAGCCAAGGGCTGGATAGGAATTCCCATTCCTGGAGCTGGCAGGTCCTTCACCCACTGTCAGACTCCCCAGTGCCAGGTCACTCACACTGCTCAGATGCTGGCTTCTCACCCACCCAATGCTACTGTCACTCCCAGGTAAAGCTGGTCTAGCACCAGCTATGCAGAACCACTTCCTGGGATTTCTCAGGTGCTCAGGTCCTGGCTGGATGCACGCTAGCACAGTCTGCCACTGACAGAGGCCCATGGCATAGGCTCTCCCCAGCTCTTCTTAAGTTACTCCTCATGGGTGTCCTGCACTGTCATGCTTATTGGCTCAGAGAGTGGGTAGGACACTCCCAATTTATAAATGAGAAAGCTGAGTTCCCAGAAGCAAAAGGTCTTTTGCAAGTTCTCTAAGATGGTATATGGGAGGACTGCCTCCCACAGTTTGTAATTATCATAAGAGTGGTAGCTGTATTTATTTATTTATTTATTAAAAAAAATTTTTTTTGAGATGAAGTTTAATTCTTGCTGCCCAGGTTAGAGTGCAATGACGCAATCTTAGCTCACTGCAACCTAGGTCTCCTTGCTTCAAGCGATTCTCCTGCCTCAGCCTCCCAAGTAGCTGGGATTGCAGGCGCCCACCACTATGCCTGGCTAATTTTTTGTATTTCTAGTAGAGACAGGGTCTCACCATGTTTGTCAGGCTGGTTTCAAACTCCTGACCTCAGGTGATCCACCCACCTCAGTCTCCCAAAGTGCTGGGATCACAGCCATGAGCCACCGTGCCCAGCCAGTTGTATTTATAGTGCTCACTGTTTGCCTGTTTCCCTAAGCATTTTATGATTCCAGCTCTGAAAACTTTAGCTCTGTTCTTGCCCTGTCCTGAACCTTTGGAACCAGTGAGTCTTGTTAGCTAGTGTCTACTTTGTTCCCTACTTTGGACTAAGGGAGAAATAGGTGCATTGACTTTCTCATCAGAAGTGAGTAAGGAGTGAGGGCCCTAAGGAGAGACATAAGGCAATGTACAGCAGCTTTGGGTTTGGGCAGAGCAGGGTTCGGATCCCAGCCCAGCCACTGTTACTAGCTACATGACATTGGGCAAGGCACTTCATCTCTAAGCCCTTCAGTTTCCACATCCATAAAAGGGGATTACAGATTATTTTTCAGAAAAGTTGAGGACTAAATTCCTCTCAATCAGTGGCCATTGATGGCAGATATATGTACTAACCTGCTTCTGTAATGCTAAGTAGATGACCGACTAGTCTGACAACTTATGTGTATTCCTATGGCAGTTTCTGGAAGACACCTCCTTCACAGAAGTCAGTGCAGCTCTCATCTGGCTGCCTGCTACTGGTCTATCCTTTTCAATTCCATCAGCCTAAACATAGCTCTGACATTTTCTACCAGCCCAAACCCTTACCTACTCCTTGGGAGGGTAACTGGGAGTTAAGAGCATGAGCAACTAGTAGTATCCCTGTGGCTGGTTAGGCTCACAGTGAACCACAGCTGAAACCACCTGCAAACTCGCTTAGTTTGGGCTTCCAATTTTCAGTTGAGGAACTGGAGGCTCACAGAGGGGAAGTGATAGAGGGGGAGCAAATACCATCCAGTGGCCAGGTTGGGGCTAGAATATGGATCTCTAGATTCTCAGTTTGAGGCCTCCTTCACTATACCGCTACTCTTCCTCTGCCAGGGCTGGGGTTGGGGAGTGCTGTCTTAAACACAGACACCCTAGGCCCCTTCTAGCCAGGGGTCAAGTTCCCTTAATTGAAAATAGAGTTAACTCTGGCCAGGTGCAGTGGCTCATGCCTGTAATTCCAGCACTTCGGAAGGCCAAGTCAGGAGGATCACTTGAGCCTAGGAGTTTGAAACCAGCTTGTGCAATATTGTGAGACCTCATCTCTACCAAAAATATTTAGCCAGGTATGGTGGCACACGCCTGTAGTCCCAGTTACTCGGCTGAGTTGGGAGGGTCACTTGTGCCCAGGTTGAGGATGCAGTGAACCGTGATTGTGCCAGTACACTCCAGCTTGAGCAACAGAGTCAGACTGTCTCCAACAACAAAAAGCAATAGAGCAAGAGTAGTAATTTCTCCATATACCCTCCCAACACCCCTGGGACAAGTTATAAAATACCTACTTGATCAGAGATTATCAAGCTGACCTAATTGGCTCTGAGAACTTCCACACCACTGCAGTCTTGGTGGTTTTCCTGCACAGCAACTGTTGGGCTGGCTGAAGCTTAAGTCTGCTAGTAACTTGACGCCCTTTCCAAACTGTCAACACAGCGGTATCATCAGGCTCATTAAAATTGATGTCAGCACAATGAAACAGAGCTGGAGAAAACTAGAAGGTCATAGCATAGTGTACAACCCCTTTGTGCTTCTGTCTCGCTTTTCTCTGGTGATGGGGTAGGTAGCGTAGCCCAAATAGGAATGCCAGGAACAGGATGACTCAAGCCTCCTGTACCTATCCTGGAATATGTACCAGGTGTCCTGGTGGTGGTGATACAGGAGCGGGTAGGGTTCAGTATCTTACACAAGGTGGTCTGCACATTTCCACACTGGCCAGTATTATTCTTCAGGCGCCAGACTCGAAGCAGGAGTGAACTAATGATAAAAGCACAGGTTGGAAAAAAGGCGCCATGGTTTCTAGGCTAGGTTCTTTACTACTTCACAAGGACAACTTTGGCCAGGATCCTGGATCCTGGATCCTCTCTTGTGCCTGTTTGCCCAACTCTACAAACAATAGCTTCAACATTTTAAAGCAAGAATGAATCCTAGCGTCAAAAAGATGACATGCCAGTGTTATCACACATGTTAACAGGTGTGTATGTGGAACACACCTCCACCAATCTCAGAGCAGCTAGTCAGGACCAACCAGCCATCTAGCCCATCATAGCTGCCACCCAGCTCAGACATTTTGTAACTCAATTTACTGCAGAAGCTGGAAGCAAACCCTCTCAATGTTCTCCTTCAGATGGGAGACAATTCCAAAAATAGTCTGCTGTGTGACCTCATCACCAAAAAGCTTGCTTCTCTTGAAGACCATGTCAAAGGCATCCTCACTGGCCACGTAGGTCAAATCAATATTTTACTATAATGCACAAAAAGGGTTTGACCTTCAAGGCCCTCTAGAAGGGCCCAAATGATTTGTCCAGTATCATCATCTATTCATGTGTTATCAAATCTACTTGTATCTAACTGTACTTAGCAATTTCCTACCTCTAACCTCTGCTTACTAAGATACTCCCTTCTTTATCTATTCCTGTTTATAAATGCTATTCACACTTGCATGTGCAGCTCAAGTACTTTTCTAAGAAGCTTCCCTCCCTCCAGGTTGGGTGTTACTTCTCCAGCCTCTGAACTACACTAAAACTTACCTAAACCTTTTGCTCCTAAGTCCTAGTAAACATTACTTGTGTTGATGTCTTTTCTTCTTAACTAGCTACTATGAGCACCAAGGGCAGGCTTCTTGCTTTAACCCAATTCCCTTCCCTTTTGCCTAGCCAATCAGCCTATGGGCTTGGTAGATACCGGAAACTTCTGGAAACTTCAAAAAGCAAACAGGGAAAATCATCACTCAAAGATACTGTGTTTGACATTTGACAAATAAGCAAAACCTTAAGGACACACCTAGGCTACAGAAGAAACCCATTTTGCAATGTATTGAAGGTTTGCTAAAATGGCCTTATGGTCGGGGAAAATAAAGTCATACCAGTAAAATCAGAAATCAAATTCCATTTTCTTGGATTTTCTTTGCAAAAAAGGAACTCCATTTTAAAGTCTATGGGAGACTTTGATTTTAAAGTACAGTATTTGGGGGTTCCATTGAGGCTGACTTTTGCTAATTATAAATTCAAACAAGTCCAATTTTACATATTGCTTTTACATGCATCAAAAACCTCACTCATTCCAGTAGCTATAGCTAAGATTTACTAAAACAATCCTCAAATCTTCTATTATCAATTGTATTGATGCCGTCATGCATCTATTTTCACTAAATGGTTAATCACTGAATACAGACAGAAATATCCTTCTCCTTTCTTTAAGATCTATAAGAATACAGAAAATCAGCATCTTCTGGAAAACCTGAGTTGGCCTCAGGCAGTGCCTACCCCATGCTTAGTGAGGCTTTTCACATGTCATTACCCCTTTTCACGCCTGTCTTGACAACAAACCGTACTCTGCTCACCCATCAGTCAAACCTTACATGTTTCAGCCTAGTGCAAAGCTCATTTTTTTCTTCAGACCTTCCTGTCAGTGAGGGTCACAGAACATCAGGCTACAAGTGACTTCAGAAACCATTTGGTCACACCCCCTCAATTTTACAGACTGGGAAGTGACCCAGAGTCAACACAAGGTCACACAGAAAATCAGTGGCAGAGCCAGAACTAGAATTCAGATTTCCTGGGACTCTAGTGAAGGCCTTTTGCTTTATACTATCTTCTTTCCCTTAATTCACGTAATACTTGAACCTAATATTATTTTTCTGGTTTTCAGGGCACCAGAGCATTCCATTTTGAACATTATTTTAAAAACTCTGCTTCATTTACTCCCAGTCATCAATGAGTATTCAATCTAAATGCTCAAAGATCCTACACACTTGTGCAATTCCCCTCAAAAACTACAAATATAAAAATGCCAAACCAGTTCTTTGATGTGTTTTAACATGAGCTTACAATGAGTGTAATTTAAAAATGTAAGCATACAACTAGGCTTTACCAAAGAGTAACGTGTTTATTTCACGTAAATGCTTAAAAATACTTTCTTGGCAGTTGTCACATAAAATGTCCTAATGTAAAACAAAAAACTCATTAGAAAGAAAAGCATGAAAAACAGACCCAAAATGTTAAGATTTTATTTACAAAGCTTTTTTGTTGTACACAAAGTAAAAATGCTGTTACAGTCTCGGTGTAACTGGCAGCCACAGACGGTTGACTCACCAATCACAGCTATCCACGCTACAGCAAGAGTCTTACACAAAAACCTAACAATGCTTACAATTTTGTTGGGGTGAAGTCCACAAGCTTGGTGGTAGATTACCAAGAGGGACTACATGGAAGGAAGGCGGAATGTCACAGGAACTATTCTTTGGCTCTTTGGGTGGGTGGGTGTCCTGGGGTTTGTATCACAGCTACCTTTTTTTTTTTTTTTTCTCCAACAGCTACCAAATCCGTGAGCAGTCCAAACAATACTGAACAGTTCTGTTCCTGCAGGTCATCTGGAGCCTTAATCATCTTCTCCTTCATCATCTGTTTCTCTCTTCCTCTTTTCACCTTTCCCACCTTCTTCCTCCTCTGTAAAGTAACAAAAATTGACGTTAGGACAGTTAGAAAGGCATTTTGCTTAGATTATTGCCAATGGAGGCAACAACAATAAAGTTTGACAGTTAGGAGATAAAACGATGTAAACTTGATCAGATTAATACAGGTGATATAGGAAGTTTAAGTGGTGACCACAGAACAAGAAAAGCAGAATGTACAGCAGCAACTCAACTCACACAGGAACGTTAACCCAGTTTCCTCAATTTTAAGGTGTTTTCTTCCGTTTCTTTTTACAAATCTATCAATTATTAAAATGCATACTAATAACTTGAGCTAGTTGGGCACAGTGGCTCATGTCTATAATCCCAGCACTTTGGGAGGCTGAGATGGGTGGATTACCTGAAGTCAGGAGTTCCAGAGTAGCCTGGTCAACATGGTAAAACCTCATCTCTACCAAAAACACAAAAATTAGCCGGGCATGCTGGCACAGACCTGTAATCCCAGCTACTCAGGAGGCTGAGGCAGGAGAATTGCTTGAACCCAGGAGGCAGAGACTGCTGAGATCCTGCCACTGCACACCAGCCTGGGTAACAAGAGTGAAACTGTCTCCAACAAAACAAACAAACCAACCCCCTTGAGCAATCTAGCATGTCTTCAAGCCATACTCAAGTGATTATGGACAAGCTTAACCTCTTTAAGCCTTTTTCAACTGTAAAATGGGGACAATGGTACTGACTTTAAAAGGTTATTCTGATAATTAAGTAACACATAAAACACTTCTAATATTAACTAAAAAGGGACTTTTTAAAGTATTTATGTAGTCAAGACACAGAGACTTACACATAGACCAATCTTTTCAACTAATAAAATCCATGGTTATTTTAATGAAATCAACTGTATGTCGAATCATGTTTCATTATAGGTTCTTAAAGGCAGTGACAAGGTCCTAACCAGGGTAATATCTAGTATAAATGTAATCGAGAGCTTGACAAAGTGGATGCTGAGAAAGCATGAGCCAGCGGCACAGTGAACACCTGATTCTCTGAGACTCAACTATGAGACTTTTATTTTTTGGGACAGTGTCTTGCTCTGTCACTCAGACTGGAGTGTAGCGGCGCCATCATAGCCTCACTGCAACTTCAACCTCTTGGGCTCAAGCGATCCTCCCACCTTAGCTTCCTGAGTAGCTGGGACTATAGGCGTGTACCACCATGCCCAGCTTTTTTTTTTTTTTTTTTGAGACAGAGTCTTGCTCTGTCATCCAGGCTGGAGTGCAGTGGTGTGATCTTGGCTCACTGCAACCTCCGCCTCCTGGGTTCGAGTGATTCTCCTGCCTCTGCCTCCTGAGTAGCTGGGATTACAGGCACATGCCACCACGCCCGGCTAATTTTTGTGTTGTTAGTAGAGACAGGGTTTCACCATGTTGGCCAGGCTGGTCTTGAACTCCTGACCTTAAGTGATCCACCTGCCTTGGCCTCCAAAAGTGCTGGGATTACAGGCATGAGCCATCACACCCAGTCCCAGCTTTTTAATTTTCTGTAGAGACAGGGTCTATGATGTCCAGGCTGTAAAACTTTTAATAGTATTAAATAAGTAACGGCTATTTCACTAGTGTTGGTTGTGGTAGGGAAAGGACTAACACTGATCAAACTGGGAAACTGGTATATCTATTTATATATCCTGAAAATTATAGTCAATTATTAAACCTTTTTTTTTAAAAAAAAAAAATGCAATAACTCCAAACACAGAAACCTCACACTTGGCAGTAAATCAAATGGCTTTAAATGGTCCCTCCATTTAAAACACGGGGACCAGGCTGGGTGCGGTGGCTCACACCTGTAATCCCAATACTTTGGGAGGCTGAGGTGGATGGATCACTTCAGGCCAGGAATTCAAGACCAGCCCAGCCAACATGGCAAAACCCCACCTCAACTAAAAATATAAAACTTCACTGAGTGTGGTGCTACATGCCCATTATAATCCCAGCTACTCAGAAGGCTGAGGCACAGAATTGCTTGAACCTGGGAGGTGGAGACTACAGTGAGCGGAGATCATACCAGTGCACTCCAGCCTGGGCGAGAGAGAGAGACTCCATTTCAAAAAAATAGTAACAACCACCGTGGGGACTGAAGACCAACAGGACCCTTGCAATCAGACAAGAACAACTGCTGTAGCAGCAGGAAGCCTGCACTAGCATAGCCACAATAATGGGATGACACAGGCAAGAATGTGAATGTGTGTATAGACTGCCAGAGCCAGGATATTTTATTTCCTTCTCGGTGGTATCAAATTCTAAATAATAGATGTTTTCATCTAATTTTTAACTGAGAATGATCAAAATGCAAGCATTAGGCCCACCTTCATCCTCATCCTCATCTTCATCTTCTTCATCAAGTCCAAATTCTTCTTCCTAGAGAATAACAGTATAATATCAGATTAATTCTGCCAAATCGAGAAGTGCAAATATTACAAATTCTGCCAAACCGAGAAGTACAAATAAATGCAACAGTATCAAGCAGGAAACTGTAATTTTATTTGTATCTACTTGGATGTACCAAGACCCACTGATTTTCCTTAATGAGCTTTATTTTACAAGTTTTCTTTAAAAAAAAAAAAAAATATTTTAGAAGCAGTTCATTTGCTAGATGTTTAATTATATAACTTTGGATAATTCAAGAAATGATCTTAAAATCTCAAATTTCAAAACACTTTTAGACAAAAATTTCTTTCTATATCCCATTCATATACAAAGCTTTTTTCAGGACCTTAATGTCAATCATACACCTAATGAGAGCACATGAACCCCTAGACTTATTTTTATACTACAAAAGAGCATGCTTTTTGCTAACAACTACTGTTGTCTGCCTGTTTCCCAAAAACCTCTTTGAGCGTCAAAGTCAAGACACTGTTTTCTCCTGCCCTCATATAGCATTCATTTCCTCAGGGATACTCTATTACTGGGTGTCCCATAAACTAGACTATGTGCTCTTTCAGGGCAAGACCACAATCTCATTTAATTTTGTATCCCTAATTCTTTAATATAGTGGGAATATATTTACTGAATATACAAGAAAAAGTTTAGACTTGGTAAACATATACTTCCCTACAATTCAATGAAAGAACAGACATGCCATCAATTTTCAACATTTCCAGTTTTCTCACCACCCTGAATACTCAACTCGTTCCTTCCCCGGAGAGGGCCAAAACTCACCTTGCACAGCCAGGAACCATACTAGTTTGAATTCAGTAGGCATTCCATTTAATAGTTATTTAAAGGCAGACAAAAACTAAACCAGATTCATATTGTCAATCTATTCACAGGTATAGTAATTTCTCCAAAAGGTGTTTTTCTTTTCTTTGTCATCTTTTTTAAACTCCCACTTTTGTTTTAATTACAAATAGGAGGCAGGGTAGAAAACAGCTGCACTGACCTCCTCACTGACTTCATCGTCGTCATCATCCCCTTCTACATCTTCAACTTCATCACCTTCATCAAACTCCTGTTCTTCATCATCCTCATCCTCCTCATCTTCCTCATCTTCTCCTTCTGAAAACAGTCCAAATGGGATTCATTAAATATCCCCAATGCTCCACAAGGCACAAGGTGTTGGGGATCTGTGGGCTGGCTCACAGAACAAATGCTGTTAAAGCCATGAACTGCAGTCACTTTCTACTATGTGCTACAGCTCAGTCCCTTTGTCCAAGAGTCCCATAAAGTCAGAAAGCTAGAAGTCCTGGTAGACAAGACAAACACTGTAATTCTCACTGGTGACATGATATAATGGCTAAGATTTGCTTCAAAATTATAAGGACTGGGGAGGAAGATAAGGGTGTATGCAGGAATAAAACAACATCTGCTATGACCAATAACTGCTGAAGCTGGGTGATAAGAACATGGAGGTTCGTTTTGCTACATATATCCACACCCCGTCCTCCCCGAGACAGAGTCTTGCTCTGTTGCCCAGGCTGGAGTGCAGTGGTGTGATCTTGGCTCACTGCAACCTCCACCTCTCGGGTTGAAGCAATTCTCCTGCCTCAGCCTCCCAAGTAGCTGGGATTATAGGCACCCACCATCATGCCCGACTAATTTTTGTATTGTTAGAGACAGGGTTTCACCATGTTGGCCAGGTTGGTCTTGAACTCCTGACCTTGTGATCCACCCCCCCTCAGCCGCCCAAAGTGCTGGGATTACAGGCGTGAGCCACTGCACCCAGCATGTTTTGCTGTATTTTTACCTTTATCACTGTCTGAAATTTTCCACAGTAAAAAGTTAAAAAAAAAAAAATCATGTACCTTCTCTTGAGTAATGGTACCACCACAGTCACAGTCAGCTGTTCAAAGCAGGAACCGGAGAAACACCCAAATAACCCTATTTGAGTCAGGGAACAGGAGGCGGAGAGGCAACTGCATCTCCACCTGATTTGTGCAGACCTCTAGTGCAGCAGTTCTTGCTTCTCCTGGGTCCTAGAGCTCACCATGCTCTCACCTGCCTGTTGGTCTCTGCATGCTCTTTCCATCCCTCTTTGCTTGGCTAACTCAGACTCCACCTTGGAGTCTCAGTCAACATCACTTCCTTAGGCAGTCTTACTCAAGATACCTCCCAATGCCAGGTCACAGGCTATCACATGAGTGAGAGTGCTTCTCCATTACAGAACACTTTGCTTACTTGTAATTATTATTTATGATTTTTAGTTAATTTTTTTTTTTTCTGTACAGATAGGGTTTGGCAATGTTGCCAGGCTGGTCTTGAACTCCTGGATTCCAGCAATCATTCTGCCTCACCCTCCCCAAGTGTTGGGATTACAGGTGTGAGCCACCATCCTTAGCCTATTTATGATCAAAACAAAACATTTCTCTGTAAGGTCCAAGAGGATAGGAACTCTGTCTTTTTTTTTAACCACTATTTTCCACAATGCCTGGCACATAAATGCTCGAATATTTGTTGCCTGACCCGTCTTTGCTCTCAGGAACTCTCCGCTACCTTCCAAGGAATGTCCTTTACAGGCTCTTGCACATGTGGCTGTTCTATCTGATTAAGGTGAATTTAAATAGACAACAAGCACAAATGGTTTTTAGGAGAAATGGAAAAACTGTAGAAAGGAGAAAAGGACATAATATTTGGAAATAAGTGAGATGTCCTATTCTCTGTCCATTTTACTTCCTTGTAACTCATTGATTTTTGCCTATCTCAATATGCTTCAAAACAAAACTATAAAACACTTCCAGAGTATTATACCATTAATTGCACCCGAACTCCCTGATGCTTTTCCTCCTCCATTTTCTTGGCAATTTCTATCTTTTGTGCTGATTTTTAAAGTATTTAAAATAATGCTTCAACTAGAATAGTACCACCAACTTCAGCAACATCACAACCAAGTATTCTTCATGCTGACTGATGTGAAAATTAATCATTCCGCTTCCTCTAAGCCAGGGGTCCCCAGCTCCCAGGACTGGTACTGGTCTGTGGCCTGGGCTGCACAGATAGAGGTGAGGAACAGGCCAGTGAGCATTACCACCTGAGCTCCGCCTCCTGTCAGATCACCTGTTTGATTCCCATAGGAGTAGGAATTCTCTTGTGAACTGCACATGTGACGGATCTAGGTTGTGTACTCCTTATGAGAATCTAATGCCTGATCTGAGGTGGAACAGTTTCATCTTAAAACCATTCAGCCGCCACCCCCAACTATCCTCTTCCCCCTCCCCGCATCTATGGAAAAACTGTCTTCTATGAAACCAGTACCTGGTGCCAAAAATGTTGGAGACCGCAGCTTTAAGCCACCTGAAGTGAGAAGCGTTTTATTCTAAAAGTGACTCAGAGTAAACAAACTCAACATGCAAAGAAAACACAAGCTAGTCAAGAAGAATATTTTGGATAGAAAATATCATTATTTAAAAAAACTTAATATATATAAAAATCCTAGATCAAATGCCAATACTGAAAATCATCTCTTAAGTCTATGTTATGATCAGAGATTATTTTCCTTATTAATGACAAATGGAATATAACCTTTAGTTATTTGAAATCATTACCTTCTTAAACTCTGGTCGTATGTAAATGGAAGGGAAAGTTATTTTATTTCTAGTTGGCAGTAACAAGCAGGTACCAAGTACCTACTAAGTGCCAGGCCCTATGAATCAAGAGGTAAGTATCCAAGATGATGGATGACTGTAGTACAGTAGAACAACAGTCCTCAAACTTTTTGGCAGCTGGGACCAGTTTTGTGGAAGACAGTATTTCCACAGCCTGGGGGTGGGAGAATAGTTTCAGGATGATTCGAATGCATTATGTTTATTCCGTACTTTATTTCTATCATTACATTATAATATATAATGATATAATTACACAACTCACCACAATGTGGAATCAGTGGAACCCTGAGCTTGTTTTCCCTGCAACTAGACAGTCCCATCTCGGGGCAATGGAAGACAGTGACACCCGAAGTGTGTTGCTTAGGTCCAGTCTACTCCATAATCTTGTTTTGGTTGCTGTCACTGCAGAAAACCTTGCTTTACAAAGATAGGATATTGGAACCAGAAGCAGGTTTTTCAGTGCTTCTGTGGCAATCAGAATATTCCACCCTTGACTTTAATCCAAAATATACGGAAATTTTGAAGTTGTCACAAGCCATACTTTTAAGGCCACTGCCATTTGTGATCTCAACCACTTAATCCTCTTCAAGCCTGGACAAAGTCGACTGACCTGGCTTATTCACAAATGGGTCCTTCCGAGTGCGAGGGTCTTTTATGTTTGTGAAGTAATGCTCAAACTCTTTTGAAAGCTGAGACAGGTGATCATGCACCAGCTAAGAGAAAGAAGGCTCTGGCTCAGTCTCTTTCAGTATCACTGCTAATGTTTGAAACACATCAAAAATCCAAATGCTCGGAACGGAAAGCTAAACACCGTATTTTAATACATGGACACATGGAGCGGGGGGAACAACATAAACAGGGGCCTTTGGGGGGGCAGGAAGAGAGAGCATCAGAAAGACTAGCTAATGGATGGTGGGCTTAATACTTTGGTGATGGGATGATCTGTGCAGCAAAACACCATGGCACACGTTTAGCTACGCAACAAACCTGCACATGTACTCCTGAACTTAAAAAAAAAAAAAAAAAAGTTTTACCACCCATTCTGTATCACTGAAATGTTCTGCCAGTGGCAACTGTTATTCTAAAAGAAATCTCTGAAGCAGGCCTCGTAACTCAAAAACTCTGGCCAGTGATCTACCGTTAAAACGCCACTCACTTCTCTGTGTAAGAGAAGACGTGTTCTCTGTGTCCATCTCACAGAGTTGCGTGAACAAAGATGGGTTAACGGGATGTACTTTTATGTGGCTGTTAATTTTAATCACATCCTGCAAGACATTAAAAGTTCAGGTGACATTTGTCAGCTAGCCGGCATTTCTCTATGAGTAACACAGTACACAGACTCACATCCAGAAGCAACCTCTCTGACCCAAGTAGTGAAACCAGAAAGCTGTCCAGCCATGGCAGCCACTCCCATCTGTGCATATATGACACAAAATGACCAATTCAGTTTTCCTGATACCTAATCATTCAAAAGACTTGAATAGTTCTGCAGCTGTGGCGTTGTCAATGAAGCACATATAACATAGTCTCATGTACATCCTCCTGAAAATATATCGCACAAAAACAAGCATTGTTGCCATGTTGTTAACATCGGCAGACTCATCAAGCTTCAATGCATACCTCGGTGACTCATCAATCCTCTTTAACAACTGTGCCTCGATATCCTCTGCTATTTCATCAACGACTAGTTTCAGTGCTAGCCAAAAGGGGAACATGTGCTACCTTTTGAACTGCAGCTTAACTGTAGCCTCTCCTAAAAGTTCATGACAAATGTTCTTAGCAGCACGCAGGATCAACTCTTCAATACTAAAGGGCTTCTTACTTTAGCAATGCAGTTAGTTAAAGGCTTCTGAGCTTTAGCAATGCAGTTAGCCACTAAGAATGAGATGTTCTCAGTGCAGACACATTTGATGAAGTGGTAGGTTTCAATAATTGCTTCTGTTCTTTGTGTTCACATATATTTCTTTTGAAACACTCGAAAGGATTGTCTTTTAAATGCAGGGTACTTGCTCTCCATGTGGTGAATAACTTTTTTTTTTTTTTTGAGACAGAGTCTTGCTCTATTGCCTAGGCTAAAGTGCAGTGGTGCAATCTCGCTCGGCTCAACTACAACCTCCGCCTCCCAGGTTCAAGCAATTCTCATGCCTCAGTCTCCCAAGTAGCCAGGACTAAAGGCGTGCGCCACCATGCCTGGCTAATTTTTGTAGAGATGGGGTTTTACCATGTTGGCCAGTCTGGTCTTCAACTCCTGACCTGAGGTGATCTGCCTCTGCCTCCCTAAGTGGTGGGATTACAGGTATGAGCAGCTGCACCCAGCCAGTGAAGCAGTTTTGAAGGTTTCATGGCTGTGTTGGATAGCTGGTTGCCACATATTATACAAAGTGGGCTTGGAGAATGTGAATCACCTGTTTTAATGAACCTGTAATTTAAATATCACTCTTGGTATTTTCTTTTCAATGAAGCTTTTTTTTCATTGGCAGTTTTGTCTTCTATTATCTCATTACTGAGCCTTTCCCCCTTTTCAAAGCTCTCCACTTATACTTGTTTTTCACTTGTTTTGGCTAGGGTTAGCTTGTGGGCTTACCAAAACTGGGGCTAAGACAAATACGCAGTGCAGGAAAGAGGTGTGGATGGAAGTGGTAAATAAAAAAAATGGGAAGGCCACACATGGACTAAAATAAGTATCAGATTCTGACTTAAAGCCTGTCACCAGATGCAGCTGTATAACCGAAATACACCAACTCACTTGCCACTATAAAGCCTGCCAGCAGATACAGCTTAAATGTTACTTGCCACACACTGATAGGTTTGAGGAGTCTGCAAGAAATTGATTTATTATGGTCTCTGTGTAGTCAAACCTTTCTGTTAATGTTAATCTGAATTTGCAGCCACTCCCCTGCACTAGCATCACCACCTCAGCTTCACCTCAGATCATTAGGCATTAGATTCTCATAAGGAGCACGTAACCTAGGCCCCTCACACATATGCAATTCATGATAGGGTTAGAGCTCCTCTGAGAATCTAATGCCACCGCTGATCTGACAGGAGACGAAGTGCAGGCAGTAATGTGAGCAATAGGAAGGGGCTGTAAATATAGATGAGGCTTGCCCACCCTTCACCTCCTGCTATGTGGTCTGTACTGGTCTGTGGCCTGTGGGTTGGAGACCCCTAAAGTAGGAAGACTTAAGAACAGCAGAGTGGCAAGCCTGTAAGAGTAAGGGGTTTACAGTTTAACACGCACAGCATCCTAACCTCACTTGTAGGCTTCAGGAAATGCTTCCCAGGTCAGGTTCAGTGGCTCATCCCTACAATCCCAGTACCTGGGAGGCTGAGGTGGGAAGATCCCTTGAGGCCAGGAGTTTATGAAACAGGCCTTAGCTATAAATCTAATGGAATGCCTACATTAAAAAAAAAAAATTACACACACCCACACACACAATTTTCCTCAATAGTAAGAACATCAAGTAGCTTGAAATAGCCTGTCATGTGAGATGAAGTGCAGTAGGGCATAATCATGGCTCATTGTAGCCTCAAACTCCTGCGTTCAAGTGATCCTCCTCCCTCAACCTCCAGTCTCCTGAGTAGCTAAGACTCCAGGTATGCACCACCACACCTGGCTAATTTTTATTATAATTATTATTTTCTGTAGAAACAAGGTCTTGCTATGTTGCCTAGGCTAGCCTCAAACCCCTGGGCTAAAGCAATCCCACCCCCTGAGCCTCCCAAAGTGCTGGGATTACACATGTGCCACTGCGCCCAGCCAACATCCAATAGCTTTCATCAGAGGCTTTCAAAGGCAGACATCAAGTTCACTGGATGCTGAGCCTACTCACCTTCATCCTCCTCCTCTTCATCCACACCATCCACCTCGGCATCTGAGTCAGGTGCTCCCTGGTCCTCTCCGTCATAGCCATCCAAGTAGGTAAGCTGGGGCAGGAGCTTGAAGACACTCTCTCGGTAGTCATTCAGGTTAGTAACCTCACAGTTAAAGAGGTCCAGGCTTTTCAGACATTCTAACTTTTTCTGAAGAAAAGGATCAAAAGACACAACTCCTAAACCAAAGGAATATAAGTAACAAACCCATCTGTTGAAGAGATAAAATTCTAGGCTCTATACTCAATTCCTGCTACCCACTCAGTCTTGTATATAGAAAAACACATCAAGTCTTTTGCAACCTTTATATTAGGTCACTAGACTTTAACTAGTCCCTCTTTCTCTACTTACTCTCCCAGAGAACTATATGTTTTTCTGGCAGCATAGTAGTCTAAAGAAATATAAAATGAAAATAATTTTTATTATATCCAGATTATTTTCACAGTTACAAGACAATCAAACAGTTTAATACATTTAGTTGAAACAAATATTAACATTTGCATAATCAAATGGCCATTAAACACTTCCTGGGTATTAAGTAGTCTCTAATGTTCTGAGGTGATATTATAGGGAAAAATCCAGAGATTTATAACACAATCTCAAGGTACTTACAATTTTACTTAGAGCACAGACATGAAACACTAGAGGGTGAAATATAAAATATAAAGTGTGGCAATGCAGCTATTTTCAGGGAAGACAGGAGTCAACACAGGCTGGGGAAAATGCAGAGAGGCACAGAGTTGAAACTTCAGAAATACAGAGAAATATTGTACTCTTCTTTTTTAATTTTTAGGAAAAAGACTGACATGTTACCAGACTTTTATGATGTAAAGTTCTTCTGACTTTATTTACTATACCTTGAAATTTTGTTGCAACACCTCATTTCTTTGGAACCATAAGTTTCATCTATCTAAAAACAGTTAAGCTATAAAAACTTGGGGCTCAAATCAAGTTTTCTGAGTAGTCAAAGTACATAGGAAAATGTCTGTGTATTTACTGAGATCTTCGTTTGTTATTATGTCAGTCTACTAGTAGTTCAATCCCAGGTCTACTAAGTTTTGATTAAGGGTAAATTAAGAGATTGAGAGGGCAGAGGTACTACTACAAGGAAGTCAGGAGGTAACAACAGGAAGTGACAGCAGACCCCTGTAGGTAGAAGAGGGAGAAGCCTATGAAAGGCAAACCCAATGTCAAGTAGCACATAGCCTGCTGCCTTTCAGAATAGGGACGGTAAGTACATTTATCTAGATAGTTTCATAAACACAACCTTTAATGGTTCTGAATGAAGAGAAAAACTTGATTAGTATTCTTTCAAGAAAATAGTACTAAAAACACCCAAAGAAACCTAAGGGGACCGCCACATGAGTAATTTCTAAAAAATAAATGTTGATGCTGAACAGGCTTTGCTGCTTTATTAGGAAAGCTGTTACAACACTCACAAGGACTTGAGAAGAAATGCAGACAAAACAAAACCTTATTTTCAGAACTCAAGGTATCTATGTAGTTCTGAGGAGACATAAAACAATGTGAAAATCTGCCGCAAGGCTATAGAGCAGGGGTCGGGAACCTGTGTTCCAGGGGCCAATTCTGGCCTACTACCTGTTTTTGTAAAATAAGCTCTATTGGAACATAGTCACACTCATTTGTTTATGTATGGCTCCTTATGTGCTAAAATGGCCAAGCAGGCTAGTTGTGACAGAGACTGTATAAAGAGGCTACAAAGCCAAATGAAGCTACTATCTGGCCCTTAGAAAAAAGGGCTACTGACCCCTGCACATGAAGAAACTTCATCTTCTTGATCAAGAAAGAGACTCCCACACTTGTTTTATTCATGCAGGGAATAAATACAGCAGGGTTAGAGCAACAGGCACATGTTGCACCCGTCATAACACAAGTGTACAATGATCCAAGAGTCTGTGGATCAAACAATGTGCTTATATAGTCAGTTCCCTGATGTCTTAAGAAAGCTGTCCCCAGCCCTTCTGGTCATAGAGCTGCTTTTGTATCATGTAATTTTCAGATTAGGTTCCCTTCCGGTCAGGCCCTGACTTCCAGGAGCCCACGTATGACTTCTTGCCAAAGAGGAAAAAAATGCTGCAATGCCACCCCAGACAGCTAGCTAGCATTCTGGCTTTCTCTTCACAAAGGCTGACTCTATGCCAGCTAAGACAGAACCATAAGTACATTTAGGCAGCTTTTCCAAAAAGGTTCACTCTCAAAATTCTCTACTTAAAGGACGAGCCATTTGTATTTCAGATTTCCTAGAAATAGGTGTATGAAAAGACATACAACCTCAGATATTTATCTAATGCTTTATAATACCACCAAAAGCCCTTTCTCTATCTAGTTTCATTGACTCTTCCAGTATACAGGGCCTCCAAGGCTCTTCTGTTTCTGAAGCTGTACAATTATGTGAGATTTTTGGCTACTTCCTGGCAAAGCACCCATTATCAAGTAATTTGGACATGCCAATCAATAGGTTGGAAAATGAAATGAAAGCAAGTAAACAACAAAAATCCCAAATAACTATAGTACTCTGGAATTGTTTAAAGTAGTAAAATTGTGCTTTAAGGCCCAATAGGCACAAAATACACTACACACAGATTATTCAGGATCCCAATGTAATGTGTAAATACTGATAAAAAAAAATTACAACTCTACCATACCAGAAATTTGATGTAAGGTAATAAGCTAGCCATAATAAACATTAAACATTTTATTAACAATAATTTTGCTTGCCTTCTTAGAATTTAGAAGGGCTTTGGGGGATGGTTTGGATGGCCCAGGTCTCTTAAAAAAGGTGTCCAAGGAAGTTTGAATTGATGCCTTCTTTGTCTCTCGATTAATGTCCCTGTAGCAAGCAGAGGCATTCACAATCATTGCATTGACTGTAAGAACTGGGCTCAAAGTAGACGGTGTTTAAAATGTATGTGGTTAATGAGGATGAGGATGGTGTTTTTCCCCACTGAAGAATACTGCTGGAAGTCAAAATGGACCCAAGATTTCCCCCCTTCACCTTCTCCTACAGATTTACTTAATTCCAAGGAATCCGAGTGCCAAGTACAGCAGAATGGTGGGACCCCAGGCTTTTCTAAATAGCTCTGGTGTGTAGCCCCGTGGCTCCGACACAGGGTGTGTGACTCTGGACAAGGGATTCAGCCTCACCCAAGCCTTAGCTTCCTCAACATAAAATAAGGGCCATGCTATTTCTATCCACTTCATAGCGAAGTTTTTTTTTTGACAATTACCAATAAAACATAAAGCACCCAATAAGTGTATGGCTATAGCAGATCCTCTAAAAATGGTAAACAGTGAAGATTATTTTTCATCCTTCCACTATCCTGGGGGACTGAGACTTTCACAGCCATCAGAGGGTCCTCTCATACATTACTGACCAGATCAGGAAAAAGCAAACAACTCCCACACAGTATTTGCTTCTGCTCCATCTCTGTGTGCTACAACACTGAAAAAGCCTGCTGATAATCAAAGAGAACTCAAGTTGCCACGAGAATTAGGTAATGGCCAGTCATCAACTGTGAAAAGGTACTGCCTGCTACTCTGTTTTTTAAAAAAACTAAAAAAAAAAAAAAAAAAAGGGAGAAGAGTTTCTTATGCTCACAACAACCTACGATTAGTGTGTCTGTCACTAACCAATAAACACAGGTTTGGCGTAGCCCATCTGAATGGGAAAGCATCAGCAGTTGAAATTTGGTGCTCCTGTTGAAATTTGGGCATGAAATAAATTACAAGTGGAAAAAGAAGAACAGGTCCCAAGGGCTATGGAAAGCACAGCAGACTTGCTTTTTTTTTTTTTTTTTAGATGGGAGTCTCACTCTGTTGCCCAGGCTGGAGTGCAATGGCATGATCTCGGCTCACTGCAACCTCCGCCTCCTGGGTTTCAAGTGATACTCCTGCCTCAGCCTCCCAAGTAGCTGGGATTACAGGCACCTGCCACTACGCCCAGGTAACTGATCCACCTACCCTGGCCTCCCAAAGTGCTGGGATTACAGGCATGAGCCACCGTGCCCAGCCCAGACTTAGATTTGAATCTCTACTCTTGCTATTTATCTGGAGCAATGTACTACAACGTACTACAATGAAATGTACTACATTCTCTAAACCCAGCTTCCTCATCTCTAAAAAGAGGACAGTCATTCTCTTTTCTCTGGGTTACATAAGGATACAATGGGCAAATGTTAATGTCCTTGGATGTAGTAAAAGTCAATAAATGTCGGCTTAAACACTGGAAATGGGGGTTGGTTTGAAGGAAACAAAACTAGTAAGAAGCCTGAGTATCTAGGCATACCTGTAACAGGAAAAAAGGCCAAAATTCATGGAGCACTGGTGAGGCATTACATTTATGAGAAATATGAGCTCTTAAATATGGACAACTTAATGAAATGTAAAAATAAAGAGACTCAGCTGGACTTTGTGGCTCAGGCCTATAGTCCCAGCACTTTGGGAGGTCAAGGTGGGAGGATCACTTGAGGCCAGGAGTTCAAGACCAGCCTGGCCTAACATCTCTCTCTAAAAGAATACATATATTATACACACCGATTCAGTAAAAGGTGACTGAATCTGTATTGGTGCAGAGTCTCAATAATTTAGGAAGGAAAAGATCTTCTAACTCTTGACAAGAAATCCTTTTCATTAAAGAAGGTATAATTTAACTCCGTCTTCTCCTGAAATATCAACAGAGCATTTTATATAATTGATGTGAAATCCACATATTTTAATATACTCTGACATCAGGACAAACAGAGAAGAAATGTCTTACCCTCTAGGGTCTGTTCTGGATTCTGAAAGACAGCTCCTATATGCTATATAACCGTCTGCCAAATAGTACAGCCTATGGGGCTGGCCCTACAAACTGCATTAAGCCTCTTATCTCCAGTCTTGCCTCTGGAAGCCCTTTCTGGCCTCTACAACTTCCACACAAACTGGACAAAAAGCAAAGTAAGTAGACTACCTTACAAAGCAAAGTAAGTACATTACTTTATTCTCAGAACTCATATGTGAGGTAAGTAAGGCAGAGATTATTATCCTCTCTGCTTTAAATGAGGAAACTGAGGCCCAGAGAGAAGAAGCAGTTTGCCCAAGGTCACACAGCAAGTCTACAACCCAAGTGGCACTGAAACTTAGCTTTTCATATCTTATCCCCATATGTAAAACTGAAGAGTATCTTGAGGTTTCCATGCAAAACTCTAGGCACAGTAATCCAACTAGAACACAAGGTCACGAATTAGACCACCTAAAGCTTAAAATGGAGCTGTCTTTTATTGTTCCATCTACAATTCAGGTATGCTGCACAATATAAATAGCCTTTTCTGTTAAACTATAAAAGGGCATAATGGCTTGGGCAGTCTGGGGAAAAGAATTGTAAGAGACATGTTTAAGGCTATATAGTCAACACATAAATTTCACAAGTGGACCCAAAACAAAACACCCCCAAAAATCCTCTTCTGAAGGATGCCATCACAATATCAGGCAGGGAGAGAGCAAAGACACAAGAATACATCTAATTAGAGAGGCCCAGATCTTTAAAATTGGGACTTCTATAAAAAGTAAAAAACCACCACTTTCTCAACCAATTATTATTGCCAGTAATTTCCCCCACTATAAAGAAATATGAAAATGAAAATGACCAGTAAGTCCCACTTTCCGAATTCTTAACTACTTACCAAAGGTTCCAAGGTGCTGATATCTTTCAGTTTATTTCCACTTAAGTTTAGATGTGTGAGATTTGGAAGTTTTTCAGCTAACATGTCCAGACCTCCAAAGATTCTATTTTCACTGAGTTCAAGCTGCAAGAGAAAATGGATACAGCACAAATACACACAGAGACACACATCATTTAAGGTATTGTAAGTAAAAAAGAGTTCTCAAATATTTACCAAGATCAAATAATCGCTATTTCTATTAAGGCATGCATGTTCATTTTGTTTAAATCCAAATAATTAACAGGAGAGGGTAAGGTTAGAGGTATTGTTTTCCTAATCAGCTGCTAATAACAGCTTAGTCAGCAACCGGTCTCTAACATCAGTGAATAAATTTTCTAACTTAAAAAGTGGGTCAAAACCAATTAGAATTTTTTGACAAGTATTAATACCCTATACCTGCCAGAAAGGGTAAATGGTTTAATAGTCTGTGCATTCTGAGCAGCTTATTTTGTGGACCTTCAAAACTTGCAACGCCCACTTGAAACCTAATCTGATTCTGGACAATGCTGACATACACTGTGGAGTTCTACACCTGGAAGCCATCAGGGAATGTTGCTCTGAAAGCCACAGGAGAGAGACGGGCCCTACAAATAAGCCCATAAAGAAGCAGCCTCAGGTTTATGAAACCAGCTCCTTAGAGTCCACATCTTGCATAAACTTGGCACTAACCTTTATTAGAACCTACTTTAATTTCTTAGCTGCAGGTCAAGTAGCACTGGCAAGTAGTGTGCCAATGAGGGAATGAGCCTTCACCAAGGAATATTAGAATCTTAAAGTAGAAGGAATTGGAGCCTAGAAAGCATTGTGAAAAACACCTAATGCAAGCTTTTCCTTTAGCAGACAAAACTCAGGCTACACAGCTGATTCTAATTCTCTATTTTAAAGTGCCAACAACAGTAGTAACATTAACCCTTACATAGTATTTAAATGCCAGGCACTAGAAATACCTTAATTCGTCTGAGCTCACAAGAACCCTATGGGGTAGGCAGAATTACCACTCCTGTTTACAGACAACAAAAATAAACTTCCCCAAGACCATACAGCTGTTACCGTAGTGGGCTTACGATTTGAAGCCAGACAGGCTGGCTTCATAAATATGCATGTCCTCCTTATTATGCTACATACCTAGAATAGCATGAAAGTGTCATGTAATGAAGTTTTTGGCATGCAATGAAATGTACTACATGATGCAAAGTAGAGTAACTTTTAAAAATATAAATATTTGCTGAAAACTGAGTTGAAAAAACAAGTCAGCTGCTTAAGGTGTTATTAAGTATTTCAGAAGAGGAAAATGTAACATTTCAAAACATTTTTCCCTTCCAATGGTATATTTTCCGTGAAATATCTAGTCATGGTCTAGGCAAGACCATCCTGGTCAACATGGTGAAACCCCGTCTCTACTAAAAATACAAAACATTAGCTGGGCATGGTGGCGCATGCCTGTAGTCCCAGCTACTCAGGAGGCTGAGG